CAGATCATCAGACATTAGATTCTCATGAGGAGTACATAACCTGGATCCCTGTGTGTGCAGTTCACAATAGGGTTTGTGCTTCTGTGAGAATCTAATGCCACTGCTGATCTGACAGGAGGTGGAGCTCGGGTGGTAATGGAAGTGATGGGGAGTGGCTGTAAATGCAGACAAGCTTTGCTTACTTGGCCACCATTCACCTCCTGCTGTGTGGCCTGGTTCCTAACAGGCCATGGACCAATAGTGGTCATGGGCCAGGGATAGGGGACCCCTGTTGTACATGATAAATATATGTAATTTTATTTGACAATTTTTAAGTAAGTTTAATTTAAAAAATGAAAAAAAATTAGTAAATCGTTGTGGCCTTAGATTAGGCAGTAATTTCTTAGATATGACACCAAAAGCAAAAGCAGCAATAACGAAAAAGAGATATATTAACAATGTTTAGCAACTTTAAAATTATTGTGATATAACTTAGGTGAAAGAAGCACCATGTAGATATAACAAAAAGACAGTAGGGAAATATACAAATGGCATTTTCCCCCTAGATTGTACGAAAATGCTTGATTTCCTATTCCTGTTTAAATTTTATTACTATTTTGTATATTTTAATGTAAAAACTTGGGAGCATCAAAATTTGTAATTTTCATAGGAATATATATTTTTTTCCTTTTCAGATGTGAATCTGGCTACACTGGACAGCACTGTGAAAAGACAGACTTTAGTATTCTCTATGTAGTGCCAAGTAGGCAAAAGCTCACTCATGTTCTTATTGCAGCGATTATTGGAGCTGTACAGATCGCCATTATAGTAGCAATTGTAATGTGCATAACAAGGTAGGTAATGATGTAAGAAATACCACTTAAAATTAGAGGCAGGCAGCTGTTTGTTTATAGATGCTCTGAGGCCACCAATCTGTTAGGAAAAATCCTATGATCAGTTCCCTGAGGTTTTCAGTGGCCTCTTCCTATCCTTCTTTAGAATATGGGTAAGAACTAATTGCCAGTGTTACAGGTATATCTTGGCTACTGGCAGAGAGGGAGTGAGAATAGTTAATGAGATAAAGGAATTTAGGGATCTGAGAATTGTATACAGTCTTTGAGCACTGAATTCTGGGAAAATAATGTTAGTAGCAGCTTTTCTTTTCTTTTTTTTAAAGAGTCAGGGCCTCCCTCTGTCACCCAGGCTGTAGGGCAGTAGCAGTTAGAGCTCACAGCAGCCTCGAACTCCTGGGCTCAAGTGATCCTCCAGAGTAGCTGAGACTATAGGCGTGAACCACCATGACTGGCTCAGAATTTCTAGAATGATCTGCACATGTGTAGAAGAGCCACGCAGAAAATTTTTATGGCCTGCACAACTGCGAGGTATTTTATGCCCTAAGAATGCACTTTACTCACAGTTGATATAGTAAGAAAGGAAGAAATCAGATGCCGAAGGTAATTTTATTGTGGTATTATTGTGTTGGCATTACTTCATTTTCTGGATTGCAGTGATAAGTAATAAGCTTTAAAATTCTCTATTATAAATAAAATAATTTGCCACAAATTAAATGGCTTATTTGGAGTACAACGGCATAAAATGGGTCTTTGCTAAACTGAGTGGAAATACGTAAGTCAGACTGAACTGGACTTGAGAAAAGTCAGAGTAAATCCAGCAAGTTCGTGTTGTCTTTGTGCTTCCCAGTCTAATGTCTTTTCTTCCTGCTTACCTTTTTCTTTAAGGTTCAGTTCAGAAGTCTCATAGGCTTCATCTCTCCACTTCCCTGAATTATTCTGGGCAGAGGGTTGAAGCATATCAACTACAGATATTGGCAGGTCATAATGGATTTATGGCCCTTCTATCCAAGGTCTGGATAGAAGCCAGACCGTCAGTAGTCTCAACCACCTGGGAACTGAAATGATAAATCTAGAAATGATTAAAAACAAGTTCTCCGAGTAACAGATATTTTTCATAACACCTAGGCACTAAAGTCATGCGCTTTATTTCACAGAACAGATGATCTGCCCTTAGGCAAGACTGCTGAATATAAAATTGGGTGGTAGATTAAAGTAGGGACATAATGAGGTAACAAATAATGATAACAGAGAAGACAGGGAAAAAACATTAAACAGCAGGACTGGCTATAGCCATTTAATATGCGCTCAGAGGTTAAATAATTTGCCTGTGATCATCCAGCTAGTAAGTAGAATTGTCTGGGTTTGGATTCAGATTGATTCCCATTCATTCCTCTTTCCACTGAAAGGTTCCATGCTAAGTCATCTTGGGAAAGATGTTTGCCCAGTATGACCATTGCATAGGAACAGGGTTCAAACTTGATTTTGTAGCAGTTTAAGGTTTTTGAGCAGGAGAAGGACTTGGTATTTTTTTTAGAGTATTAATGGGTCATCTGAAAAATTCACTGGAGTAGTGGACATGTGAGGTAGGGGGAAGACCATTTAAGACATTAGAGTTAAATAGGAGTGAGGTAATAAATGATTTGGAAGGCAGAAGAAAAATTAAGATAAAGTAAGGGATGATGTTTGAGGCCTGGAGATAGTGCCTTTATTTGAGACAGGGTCTCACTCTGTCGTTCAGGCTGGAGTGCAGTGGCATGAGCTTAGATCATTGCAACCTCCACCTCCTGGGCTTACATCAGCCTCCTGAGGAGCTGAGACTACAGGCATGCACCACCATGCCTGGCTAATTTTTGTATTTTTTTTGCGGAGACTGGGTTTGGCCATGTTGCCCAGGCTGATCTTAACTCCTAAGCTCAAGTGATCCACCTGCCTTGGTCTCCCAAAGTGCTGGGATCGTGCCTAGCAAGATAGTGCCATTTTTAAGAGGCTCAAAGGATGTTAGAGTCAATGGGAAGCCACTTTGAGTTCAACCCCTTCAATTAAAAAAGTAGGGAAACTGAAGCCCTGAGAAAAGAAGTACCTCGGTCTAAGGTCCTAGAGCTAGGAAAGGCCTCTTACAACAGTCTTTTACCCAGCTCTGTCCTTCTGTTCCCATTGTGCTGTACTCCTCAACTACTCAATTAAAATTACCTGGCAGGCAGTATTGAAGTACGTACCTTCTGTTTATACTCCAAATCCCTCCTCTTTGCCCTCATAGCCACTTAGACATCACAGTGTATTTCTAACTGTGTCACAGTGTCTTCACTGCCCACTGTCTCTGTGATTGAAGAGCTATCTCATTGAATTGATCACAGATTTCTCCTTGAGGCTTGTCTTTTTACTGTGGTATTTCCTCCCCTAGAATATCTTGCTATCTTGGATTTAGAATATTTATGTACTTGGATTTATTTCCATTGAATTTTTAAGTATCTCTCCCACACAGTCCATTATGGGACAGCTGTTGACATATACCATGGTGGCTGTTACAATGGAGGAATCTTCTTTAAAAGGATGTTCCCACTGACCTGTTTATCAAGACTGCATGAGTCACTTTTTCTTCTTTTCTTCTTGGAATCTCCTTTCATGTTTTCGGTCTCATGGAATGACTGATTGGCAGAAACCTTGAATATCACCTTAACTAAATGCCTTTATTTTATAGATTTAAAAACCATGGTGCTAGGAAATTGGAGGTCATGGTGAGTTAGTGACAATAAAAGAGGGTTGCTTGATCTGTCAACTAGTCTTCTCATTTGTGAAATGGAGATGATTCCAACTTTAACTACCTCAGACTTTTAAAAGAGGATTAGTGAGGGAAAATTGTGAAAACCATAAACAAAATGGAAGTATCATCAACGCTTTTAGTTCAAGGCAAAGCTGTACTCTTTGAAGTTGAACAAAATGAGGAGTGCTTATTGCTGTAAGACTTGCTTTTCATTAGGTTGTAAATTTCTTGCTGGCAGAGATTTTAGAAGCTAGTCCAACTCCTCATTTAGTATTTTACATGTAGGAGAATTGAGGTCGCACAGTTAGTTAGCAGAGCCCAGAATTCATCTCAGCCCCTTTATTCTACATTGCATACACAGCACCTTGTGTTTGCAATCTAGTGTACAGGCACAAGAGCAGTTCCAACACAGTGAGATTTGTGCTGCTGTGGAGAAACATGGAAAATGAGAGCAGAGTTAATGAATGTCCCTCATACTCAGTGTGACAGTTCCTTATGGGCTTCTGTGATTTGCCCCAGCAGGGTGTGGACAGCTTCTTTTGAATCATTGTCTAAAATCAGTAGACATTTCTTTGTAGTCATAGCTGAGGTTAACAAGCACACTTCTTCCTGATTTCTTCCTTCATCTAAGTTGTTCTTGTCATTCTAGAGCTCAGGGAAAGTACATAATGCTCAGGGAAAGTACATAGGCCAGAGTCCTTTTTACTGTCAGGGGTTTCACATGTGAAAGCCTGGGTGGTGAAGCAACAAATTCATGTTAAAAAAAGTCACTGTGACTAGGGAGTTCTAGGCTGGAGGAAGGGTGAGATATCTGCAGGGATGCATACATAGTAGAATAGACACTGGGAATGAGTTTTGCTTGTGCCAGTACCTATATTACATATCTAATCCTCTCAACTCCCAGCTTTGTAGGGGAGGTAGCAGTCTGAATTGTGTTCATTTTCACCTTGTCTGGCAACAGATACCATCTCATTTCCCTTTCATGTAATTGCTTGCACCGTGGCTTTATGTGAGAAATATGTATTACTTTGGAAACATTTGAAATATCCTAAACAAAATCATCAAAACAATATTTTTCTCTCTCTCTCTTTTTTTTAATGCAACAGAAAATGCCCCAAAAACAATAGAGGACGTCGACAGAAGCAAAACCTGGGTCATTTTACTTCAGATACGTCATCCAGAATGGTTTAAACTGATGACTTTTATATGTACGCTGACCATGTGATGTACATTTATTATGTCTTTTTTTAAAGAATGGAAATATTTATTTCAGAGGCCTTATTTTTGGACATTTTTAGTGTAGTACTGTTGGCTCGTATTTAGAATATTCAGCTACAACAGTTTGGGACTGTTTAGTAGTCTTTGTTTTATGTTTTTAAATACAGAAATTGCTTTCACAAATTTGTACCACATGGTAATTCTAAGACTTGTTCTTTACCCGTGGAATGTAATATTTTTACAAAGATGGACCACTTCACAAATGGTTATAAAGTCATATCCACTTCTTCCACAATGACCACAGCAAATGACCAAGCATGAACTAAAGGTAAAGATGTTTACAGATTACTTTTCTTACAAAAAAATCTAGAAGACACTGTGTTTAAATAGATATTTAAATGTTTTTGAGATTTAGTTACTGATTTTTTAGACACTGCCAATCGCATGAACTGTAAAGCTGTGTGTGTTAGGTGTAAAATACTTATAAGATATATGGACTGGGGAATTTGGTTATTCCTCCCTTTGAAAAAATAATTCTAATAATTTGAAAAAGTATGTTAGTAATGAGGGAACAGATCAATGAAAAATAGATTTAGATATTGTGAAAATAGGCTATTTAACAAACAGATCGGAATAAAGCCTATTCTACCCATTAAACTACTTTAATACACATTCATTTTTAAAGAAAATATTTGTTTTAACATAAACAAATTGTATCAGTGTTTGTGAATAAAATACAAAAATAATTGTTAATGATTGGTGCTCTTAGAGTGAACTTAAAAATTATCTAAGACCTCTATCCAAATTTGTCCTGTAGTAATAGATTAATATTCATAGATTATTGGTGTTTAAAGATCTGAAGTGTGAGTAGAATGTATTAAGCTGTTTAACAAGTAGTTTAGATATTCAAAAGTATGCATGTAGAATTTAAAGAATATGTTAAAAATTATTAATTTTAATATTTTGTTTGGAAAGGCATGTTATAATATAATGTTTTCACTATATGGCCTCTGTTTTGGTGTGTTTATTTACCAAATTTTTCAATATTAATGTTTCAGTATATTTAATATGTGAAATTAGTAGAAAAAGCAGATTTTAGTTAAGAATTCCCCTTTGCTATTACAAATACTGAATGAAATGATCTAAAGGCAAAAGCTTTACCCAACATTCGGAGTTAGCTTTTTTGATCATTTGGTTTCTAGGTTTAATATTAGTTGCATAGTGGCTTTAGTGAACTTTAAAAAAAAACTTTCCTCTTCTACCCACGCAGTCTTATTTGAGTCCCTTAGTCAGTCAGCAAGCATGTTTGGAACAGTCCCTTGTGCTTTGCAAGGGTTCAGATTGCAGAACAGTCACATATGGGCATTTGTAGTTATAAATACTTGACCATTCTCCAGGGGTGGGGTTTCCAACTCTTTAAACAACCCTGTTGCCTGTTATCAAGCTGACTTTTTGCTCCAAGTGCCAGAATTGATTGTGGTTAGGACATCTTTCGCTGAGAAATAAGTAAAATGGAACATAATGGATCTGCTTCAAATGCTGATAAAATCCACCAGAATCGCCTATCAAGTGTTACAGAAGATGAAGACCAAGATGCTGCTCTTACCATTGTGACTGTGCTGGACAAAGTAGCCTCCATCGTGGACAGTGTGCAGGCAAGCCAGAAGAGAATAGAAGAGAGACACAGGGAAATGGAAAATGCCATAAAATCCGTCCAGATTGACCTGTTGAAGCTTTCACAGTCACATAGCAATACAGGCCATATCATTAACAAGCTGTTTGAGAAAACCCAAAAAGTCAGTGCTCACATTAAAGATGTGAAAGCCCGGGTGGAGAAGCAACAAATTCATGTTAAAAAAGTTGAAGTCAAGCAAGAGGAAATAATGAAGAAAAACAAATTCCGGGTGGTAATATTCCAGGTAAGCTTGCACTTGTGTTCAGCTTGCTTGTTATAATCTCTTGCATCTTTTAATTGCAAAAAAGTCATAGCCCGGGTTTCCAGTGTCACATCTTAACTATTGTATATATTAATACAATGGGGTTCTGTATTACAGAGATCTCAGGGTAAAACCATTGCTGTGTTAACCGAAGTACTATCTGTCATTTTGGTATTTTGAACTTCTCAACCATTTTGTGTAATATGAACTGTGGCTCATAGCTTAGGCTATTTCTTGCATTTGAAAGTTAATATTGGTAAGGCCCTTTCTGCATATTAGCCTTATTAGCATGGTGCCCTCTCACAGACGTTGAAAATGTTCGAACTAAAACAGGACTCAGAAACCTCTAGTTTAAAACACTTCTTTGTTCTCTAAAAGAAGAGACTGACAACCAGTAGCTCCACAGTGTATTTTTTTTCCCACTTACATGGAGCGCCTGTAAAGCCCTAAACAGCCCTAAACTTTTCAGAACGTGATTTGTATATTGGAATTTTTACATACAGATCACAATAATAGCTATTTCCCAGTGAACACTGAGGCAGTTATTCTTATTTTTCTTATTATTATAGTAACAATATATTATACAAATATATGAGTCACATAAATAATTACTTATGTTTGATTACAAAATCTTTTTACTTAACTGATTTAATATAATTTTTGTGTGTGTGTGGTATTGTATATTGAGCTAAGTTCCCATATTATTCTGTGCTTGGCACTCATCTTTTTGGAAATAGGAACATATTCATGGCAAATGCATAATATCTATGGTGTATTTTTAAAACTCTTACAGTTAAAAGGAAAAAATGGAACATTCCTTCAAGTAGAAAAATGGGAAACTGTCATTATCAGGCAGTGTACAAAACACAAATAAGAATAAAATTCTACTTTCACTTATTTAAATGTTGGCAATTATTAAAACCTATACTTACAGGTTAATTTAAGAATTGGAAAAAAACACTTTCATATTCTGTTGGTAGAAATATTGATATAACATTTTCAAAAGGCAAATTTGGTAGTACATATTAAGAAATTTAAAAATTCACAAACTTTTTGGGCCCCAAATTTTATGTCAAAGAATTTGTTCTATGCGTAAAATCAGGAATGTGTGCAAGGATGTTTCCTGGTGCATATAAAGTGTTGTTTTTTAAAATGACACCTGTATTTTAAAAACAAGTACTTATGTACATAGGGGAAAAACTCTAGAAGAATATAAACTAAATGAAATAGGAACACAGTTGGATTATGTAGAAGATAATTTGTAAAACATGAGGGATGTGGCCCATAACTCCCCATGGCATTCTTTACACACTAGGCAATTCTCCATAGCCCTCTGTTGACTGATAAGGTTACACTGTGATGGTGGAGTGGTATTTCAGATCTGTTTTAAGAGCCTGTAGGTTATTCGGAAAAAATAATAGGGAAGAGAGTGAAGAGTTGCTTATTTCAAAGGTAGATAGGGCAGACTATGCCATTTGAAATTCTTTGTCATTTCCCTTTCCTTTCATGTCCCTAGAAACCCTTCTATAGGCTTAACAATTTGGGAAAAGAAGACAAAGCCTGGGCAATGTGACAAAACCCTGTCTCTATAAAAATTACAAAAGTTAACCAGGTATGTTGTTGTGTGCCTGTGTTCCCTATTACTCAGGAGGCTAAGGTGGGAGGGTCACCTGAGCCTGAGGAGGTCAAGACTACAGTGAGTCATGACTGTGCCACTGCACTCCTGCCTGGGTGATAGTGAGACCCTGTCTTAAGAAAAAAAAAAATTGAAAAATTGAAAAAAATCAGTCACCTGATTTTTAGAGGCCAGTTCCCAGTTGGTATATGTAGTAGGAAATGTAGTATCCATTCTTTGATTCACCTTCTGAAGGCATTCACAATTGTGGGTGTATCTTACCCTCCACTGGCATGGGCGCATGGCCAGGAAACATACTTGACATTCACCACTGCTGAGAACCTTTGTGCAAAGCAGTGGACTAAGTGCCAATCAAGATTTACAAAAGCAAGAGCAAAAAAGTTTCTGAAAAGTTTCCATTGACTCTGTTCATTGACGTAACTCTTTTTTCAACTTTAAGATGTTTCTATGTTCACCTGTTTAGTCCCTGTGACTTACTGCTAATTGTTCCTTTCTTTGATCCCCTGTAGTTATTTAAAGCAGCTGAGGGGTGCTAGTTTAGGGCACATCTCTTTTCTTGTAAGAAATAAAGATTCTGTATAATTAAGCTGTTCAGAGTAAGCAGCAGTTCATCAAAAAGTAATTGCTATCATTTATAATGGGAGAGCTTGTAGAGAAAAGATAAATGGACATATAACTCTGATTCAAAGATGCAATAGATGTTAGGACACTGTATACATGGTCACATGGTTATTCTTGGCAGTTAAAATTAGTTATAATTAATCATCATTGTTAAGGTGTATAAGTGGTTATATTCAGATTGTCCTTCTACTAAAATTAACTTGAAACCAAGCAATTCAGCCATAATTACTTTGAGAGCTTGTTTGGAGGTTCTAGCAGGGGAGCACAGCTACTTGTATACCCTTGACCCAAAAAGACCAGTCCTCCTCTATCGTAGATGGTCGTCCTTTTTGACCAAGTGTGTGGCTTCAGGAGGGACACATATGGAGAGGCGAGGAAGGAAGGGTCACCTGCCTAGCCAGCCAGATCAGCTGAATCAACCTTGGCCATCAGTGAGGTGACAGATACTGCAATCAGATCGCCTTCACACCACCTAGCTATATTACTTTGATGTTCAGTCCAGCCCACAGTACTCTGATGCACAGTATTTATTCTGTTACAAAAATGGTCTTTTTACCTGGAGTTTTATATTAAAAGACAAAATTATATTTGGAAATCAACTATAATTCAACATCTGCAATCTTCAATTATTATAACAGTCTGTTCACCATTAGTTCATATCTCAGTCTCATTGGAGTTGCAACAAATAGATCCACATAACAAGTACTTTTTTTTTTACTCTACCCCTGTTTTGTTTTATTTTAAAGCCTGATTTTATATTATTTGTTGTGTACTTAAAGAGGGGTATGTGATTCCTGGGTTAAGCTATATCTGATTTCTTCACAGCAAGATTGTGTTTTTTCCCTTACCTAACAGTAATTAACTTTTGGCTCTTTCCTTTTCTAATTATACCTTCTCAGGCCGTACCAACCCACATTGTGTTGCTGAAGCTACTCCCTGCAGCAGGTGTCAGGAAAGGAGAGGAATAATTTCACTGCTTCTAACTGATTCATCAGAGAGTTATGAGACGCCTACCCCTGCCTTTTTTTAGCTCCTAAACTCTCTAATCCTATAGCCAAAGAATTTAATTTTAAATAAATATCCAAAGAAATAAGGTTCCAGGGATATATTCTTGACTATCAGGCTGATAGGTTTTAGAATATGCATAAATGTGTTTTGTATATATTTATATATTTTTTGATTGAATAGATTTAATCTGGATTTCATGTGGGAGCACAGTTTCTTTTAGAAATTTTAACTTGTGGTTCTGTTAAAAATCTCTTAATTTTTCAAGTTTCATCTGTTTAGTTTTGGATATGCTCCCTAAATAGTCAGTTGGGTTCCTCTAGCTGCTGCGGTTGGGCTGGCTCTCAAGGCCTCCAGTGTGTGTCATGTCCCAAATCCAATTCTCATCCTTATTTTTTTGACCCATTTGGCACAATTAGACCTCCCTCTCCCCACTCCGCCTCTCTCTCTCTCAAGAGACAGGGTCTTGCTTTGTTGCCCAGGCTAGAGTTCTTTCTTGCAATCATAGCTCACTGCAGCCTCCAACTCCTGGGGGCAAATGGTCTTCCCTCTTCAGCCTTCCAAGTAGCAGGGATTACAAGTGTGCACCACCTTGCCTGGCTACACTTTAAAATTTTCATAGTGACGAGGTCTCACTTTGTTGCCTGGATTGGTCTTGTCCTCAGGTGATCCTCCCATCTTAGCCTCCCAAAGTGTTGGGATTACAGGCATGAAACACTGCACCCAGCCCCTCCCTTTCTTCTTGAAACTTTTCCCTGACTTCTGGGATTACTACTCACTTTGGGAGTTGCCCCTGCCTCACTGGCTAGTATTTGTCTTTTTTGTTTTTGTTGTTCTCATTTCTTCTTTTTACCAGTCCCAAATCCATGTTCAGCACTCACATTAAAAAATTCTTAAAAATATTTTTTTAATAACATATTTGACAGGAAGACCTAAGTTGACCTGAAATTGTTCCGTAAAAAACTTGACCTAAATTAGCCGGAGGCTATAGTTTTTATCCCATCTTAGTGTGAATATTCATATATTTTTTTTGCCACAGAAATGTTTCTTCCAAGATCTTGCTGGGAATGTTATGTAATAAATCATATTATTTCCAAAGTCTGAAATATTGTGAATTCTGAAACACACCTTGGTGCCAAGGAGTTTTGAGTAAAACAGAGCATAGACCCATTCACTCAGTTTCTTGGCGATCTCTTTCATTTCGTCTCATGACTTTAATTCTGTCATTACGTCAATGACTCCTAAATTTGGGTGTCTAGCCCAGCCCTCTCTTCTGAATTCCAGACTCGTCTGCTCAGCTGCCTGCTCAGTGCCTCTGCTTGCATGGCTGGTGGGTGTCTCCAAGACAGCATGTTCAGACCCTATCCTTCCCCTCCAGTCTTCTTCCTGCCATCTCCCCCATCTTAGTTAATGGCAGATCTATCCTTTATCTGCTCAGGCCATGTACTTGAGGATTGTTCTTGACACTCTGGCACTGCACATCCAAATCTAGTGACAAATCTTGTTGGCTCCTACCTTCAAAGCAGCTCCAAATCAGGCTGCTTCTCTTCCCCACCCTGTCAGCACCCTTACCCAGTACTCACTTGCCTCAGTGCTCTCCACCTGTTCTCCCTGCTTCTTTTCTTGCCCCTACACACTGTTTTCAGCAGAGTGATCCTTTTATAATGTTCAGATCCTGGCACTATTCTCCTGCAAGCCATTAATCAATCAATCAATTAATTATGGAGTCTTGCTCTGTTGCCCAGACTGGGGTACAGTAGCATAATCTCAGTTCACTGCAACCTCTACCTCCCGGGTTCAAGTGATTCTTCTGCCTTAGCCTCCTGAGTAGCTGGGATTACAGGTATGTGCCACCACACCTGGCTAATTTTTGTATTTTTAGTAGAGACTATTTCACCATGTTGACCAGCCTGGTCTTGAACTCCTGACCTCAGGTGATCCTCCTGTCTTGGCCTTCCAAAGTGCTGGGATTACAGGCATGAGCCCCCGTGCCCGGCTTCCTGCAAGCCATTGAGAAGCCTTCCTTTTATGCTCAGAATAAAAGTCACTGTCCTCACCATTGGATACAGAGCCTTGCATGACCTGGGCCACCTGCTCTCTCTCTTAACCTTTTGTCTCCCGCTCTTGGCCCTTGATCACTCTGCTCTGATCACACGGCCCTCCCCACTGTTCCTCTATTATTCCCAGATCTATACACAGCCTTCAGGTCTAGGCTCAGGTGTCACCATATGAGTGAGGCCTTTCTGACCACTGTAGTTCAAACAGCACCTTTTTGTCACTGCATGTACCCCTTCCCTGCTTTCGTTCTCACCTTAGCAGGTATCACCATCTAACATGCTATATAGATTTTACTTGTTTGTCTGTCTCCAAGAATATAAGCTCTTTCACTCTTCTGTCTTCAAAGAAGTTTTGCAGTTTCTAGAACCAGAAAATTTACTGGTTTGTGGTGGTGCTTAATAGCTTGGTTGAAGGAGGCTGTACACCTGTTTGGTTCAATAATCATTTATTGAGTGTGCTTACTATGTACAAGACACTCTGATAGATGCTGGGCATAAAATGTAACATGATTTCTGCTTTCAAGGAATCTGGAGGCCTCCAGGAGACACATATTTTTGAGTAAAGCTCCAATTCAAACTGTGATAAATGTTATAAACAAAGGTATGTATGTGTAAATTTGAGATAGAGTTAGCCATGTGGGGAAGGTGGGGACGTTTGAATTGATTCTTGAAGAAAGATTTTATTTACAAAGCCAAAAAGAGGTAAGGGGCATGTGAGATATCAGAAACTTCTGGGCATGGTAACATGTGCCTATAGTCCCAGCTACTTGGGAGACTGAAGCAGGAGGATTCCTTGAGTCTAGGAGTTCCAGTCCAGCCTGAGCAACATAGTGAGACCCCGTCATTATGAAAAAAGGAAGATATCAGAAATCACTTATACATAGGCATAGAGGGATGAAAACATCTTGTGCTTGAGGAATTGAGAATGATTATATGTTTCTGGGCTGGAAGAGTGGGAAAGTGGGTTTAGCTAAAGCTGAGGAGCCTTCTAATCATACGGAAAAATTTGAACTTTCTTCTTTGAGTATTGGTGAGCTTTCCAAAGTTTAAAGCGGAGAAAAGATGTGATCAAAGCCATGCTTTAGTAATATTTTTCAGACAGCACTTAGGTGATGTTCTGGAGGTAGAAGGATCAATGAGGAGGCAGTATACAAGTTCAGGACTGAGATGACAAGGGCCACAATCAAGACATTGGGAGAAGGAATGAGGAAGGAGGGGGAGCAGATGAGTTGTTAGGTGGTATTATCGACAAAGCTTGGTGACCAGTTGGATATGGAATGAGAGGGAGAGGAAATATGTGGGATGATGATTCAGGAGTTTCTGTGTTATTTGGCACCTGGATGGGTGTTAGTTCTGAGAGGTACAGGGAAAGAAGTAGAAATGGAGAGGATGGTGAATGGGCCTTGATTTTTGGACTTGCTAAGTTCGAGGTGACTATGTTACCTCTCAAACTGTGGAGCAGCCTGCCTATCATTCACACCTGCATATTCATCTTAGGAGATAGGGGAAGTGAAGATAAAATACTTGTGAGTTTACTTACAATTGGATCTGAAAAATGGAGTGGATAAGGTTGCTCAGGGTGAGCCTGGGAGATGAAGAAGAAGAAAGGGCCAAGGTAAGATAAACCCTAAGAAATGCTAACATTTAAGGAGTGGACAGAGGATAAATGGCCCATGGCGACGATTTACAAGGCATGGCCAGAAGGTAGAAGACCTGATCTCTAGTGCAAAGGAAGGACTAATATGCTTTGTTTTTCTCTCTCCTTCAGGAGAAGTTTCGGTGTCCGACATCCCTGTCTGTTGTTAAAGACAGAAACCTCACTGAGAATCAGGAAGAGGATGTTGATGATGTCTTTGATCCCCCAGTAGACCTCTCCTCGGATGAAGAATATTATGTTGAAGAAAGCAGATCTGCCAGGCTTAGGAAGTCAGGCAAGGAGCGCATTGATAATATCAAGAAGGCATTTTCCAAAGAAAACATGCAGAAGACACGGCAGAATTTTGACAAGAAAGTGAACAGAATTAGAACTAGAATAGTGACCCCGGAGAGGAGAGAGAGGCTAAGGCAGTCAGGGGAGAGGCTGAGACAGTCAGGGGAGAGGCTGAGACAGTCAGGGGAGAGGTTTAAGAAATCTATTTCTAACGCAGCTCCCTCCAAGGAAGCTTTTAAGATGCGTAGCCTCAGGAAAGGTAAGGACCGAACAGTGGCAGAAGGTGAGGAATGTGTCAGGGAGATGGGCGTGGACATCATTGCCAGGAGTGAATCTGTGGGTCCCATCAGTGAGCTCTACTCTGATGAGCTCAGAGAACCACAACACGAGGCAGTCAGGCCGGCGTATCCTGCCCAGGAAGGAAGGGAAATCCCCACCCCCGAGCCTTTAAAAGTTACTTTTAAACCTCAGGTGAAAGTAGAGGATGATGAATCTCTTTTGTTAGATTTAAAGCAGTCATCATAAAGAGGAATTAAATCTATCCTAAATATGAATCTCCTAATCATGCAGTTTTAGTTTGAATAGTGTGTAGTCATCTATATTTCTGTGCCATGTAAGAAAACATAAATGGTTTTTTTCTTATATTTAAAATCTTGAGGGTAGTACAAATATTATATACATTTCCTTGTGACTTCCTTGGGAATTCTTCCCCCCACTGCACCGCCCTCCCACTGTCCCCCACTGCCCTACCCCCAGGTTATGTGATTCCTGCAGCTTTTTCTCTTAGGTCACTCTTTCTCACGGCAGCTGTGGATTTTTTAGTTCTTTTCTCTTGTTCACCAGAAAAATAGTTTCCTAGGGCGGGCCAGTTACATGTTTGGTAAGGGCAACTTTGTGGCCATCGTTTGCAAGTGAACTCTAAATACTGGTTAGGATTAATATTGTAGCCAGCCTCAAAGGGGAATAACTCACGTGTGGGTTATATTATCCAAATGTTCGGATCAACAGATTTATTAGTAAATTAGCAGTCACACCCCTTTTTTGATGTTTTCACATTAAATGATTGAAGTTCTGGACTTGAACATCTGGCTCTAGTATCCTAGCTTTACTTACAAGAAAACCCTTGGCAAGTCATCTGTTTATTCTCATCAGTAAAAATGGAGAGGGTTGGCTGTGCTGTCCGCCTCAGAGGACTATTGTGAAGATCAAAGGAAATGGTACACGTTCTGGGGAATAAGAAGCACACCCAGAGAAAACAAGCCTCACCAGTTCTTCAAAAACAGAATAGAAAGAATTGCACCCTCTGAAAAAGCCCTGAGCACCAGTTGATGAGGTCCTAGGTTGGACAGAAACTAAAGTTGGTCTTCAGAAGACTTTTCACAGAATTAAGAGTGAAAGTGAAAAATAAATAACTGTTTGGGTGACCACTTTTTCATCAAACTAAAACTAAACCTTGGGTTTTAGTTGGGTCTCAAAGTGTTCCTTGGCTAAGTCCTTTCTAACTTCCTTTCAATTAAGATCTTCGGTGGACTGTAGCACTGCATTTGTTTGAGCAGTATGAGGCATAAAATTGTGGCTGTGTTGTCAAGTGAGCCTTTCTAAAGTTGGCCCTGATGCACTGGGTTTGGAAATGACCTCAAATATTCTTGTTTTTCTGAGTGTGCTCTTCAGGGCCCAACTGTCCAAAACAGTGTTCATAGGAGTTAATCGTAGCTGCTTTGGGAGGAACCCAGATTCCCCTTGTCTGTTAGCTTTAGCTTGTTGAAGCCAGAGATTAGAACAATGTCTGTTGTTGCTACAGACAGAAAGAAATAGGGCTGGGTGCGGTGGCTCAAGCCTGTAATCCCAACACTTTGGGAGGCCGAGGCGGGTGGATCATGAGGTCAAGAGCTCGAGACCATCTTGGTCAACATGATGAGATCCCATCTCTACTAAAAATACAAAAAATTAGCTGGGCATGGTGGCGCGTGCCTGTAATCCCAGCTACTCGGGAGGCTGAGGCGGGACAATTGCCTGAACCCAGGAGGCGGAGGTTGCGATGAGCCGAGATTGCACCATTGCACTCCAGCCTGGGTCACAAGAGCGAAACTCCGTCTCAAAAAAAAAAAAAAAAGAAAGAAATGGGCTGGGCACAGTGGCTCATGCAAGCAATCCCAGCCCTGTGGGAGGCTGAGGCGGGTGAATCACTTGAGGTCAGAAGTTCAAGACCAACCTGACCAACATGGTGAAACCCCGACTCTACTAAAAATACAAAAATTAACTGGTTGTGTGTGTGTGCCTGTCCCAGCTATTTGGGAGGCTGAGACAGGAGAATTGCTTGAACCCAGGAGGTGGAGGTTGCAGTGAGCCATGATTGTGCCACTGCATTCAAGCCTGGGCGACAGAGCAATACTCTGTCTTAAAAAAAAAAAAAAGGAAAGAAAGAAATGGTCGTACTGGTTCTGTACTTGTAGGATGTTCAATGTAGCATGTAGCATGGTGTTGTAAGAGAAGAAATGATGGAATTGTTGAATTTGAAGGATTGAGACAATCAGCTATCCTACTTTTTTTCTCACTTTCAGATCAGTTTTTGGATAATCCTATGGTAGTTGGAATAAGTGTACACATCTACACACAGGCATACATAAATTGTCTTTAAAATATTTGACTCTGTTACCCAGATGTTTGGGTTTTGGGAGTCTGATTCAGCATCATTTCCTCTTCAACCTGCATGAATACATAAAATCATAAATTGTTCATCTTGTTACCTTTTTATATTGAAAATTAAAGTGTATACAACATTGGATAACACTTTCAAATGAATAATTTTAAAATGTTTTTATAACATTTTGGAAAGCTCTTAGATGCTTAATCACATATTTTATAGGAGCCATAATAAATTAGAATTTAAGAAAACATTATTACAACTTCGATGTTAGTGTCCTATAAATATTTTTACTAATAATGCAAATAGTGAATATAAAGACGGTACAAGCTTTTTCTTTTTTCTAGCCCTATGCAGAATAAATATCAGTTGGCTGGAAATATTTTTCTGCAAATATTACTGTCATGGAATTTTTGTAGTCAGTTTGCTTACTGACTCATTATATAACCAGACTTGACATTTTATGGAACATTTCACATATAGCTATATTTGAATTTTGATGAGGAAGGAGTTATAACCTGGTCAGCTCTTCATCATGGTAGACTTTGTGCAACCCCAAAACACTAGGCAGTTTCATGTCCCTGGAGGTTTACGGTGACCTTGTGCTGCTCTCTTGGTACTATCATTTTCCCTCCTCCATATTGCTTCTGTCTCTCTTCCTTTCTTCCCACATTTGGGACATTCTGAAATTCTTCATTCATAATTTATTATCCCTTTAACTTAATTTTCTTGATATAAAATAATGGGCTGCAAAATCACATCTCATTTGATATAAAGAATATTCTAGTCAGTGTTCCTATTTTAAAAGTTTTAGATAACAGGGACAGATTATTTTACTTATTCATCTGTATTTTAGAAATTTTATGTACCAGATTTTAAACTATGTATTCAAATTAAACCATTAGCAAGATTCCGTGCTCTGAGACAGAACAGTGCAGCATCTATAGACACCAAGGGGCATGGAGCTACTCAGGATCTTCTGCATAATAAACAGGATAGGGGAGGGGGTGCAAGTCTGTCTTTTGAACTCGATGATCCACGTCTTTCCTCTGAGCAGGTGATAGCCTGATTCTAGCTTATTGGTTAGAGAAGCAGGGCAAACAACAAAATACATGAAAATTCAAGGCCAGACATGGTAGTTCATACCTGTAATCCCAGCACTTTGGGAGGCCAAGTCAGGCAGATCACTTGAGGTCAGGAGTTCAAGCCAGCCTGGCCAACATGGTGAAATCCTGTTTCTACTAAAAAGACAAAAATTAGCTGGGCGTGGTGGCAGGCGCCTGTAATTCCAGCTACTTGGGAGGCTGAGGCAGGAGAATTGCTCGGACCTGGGAAGTGGAGATTGTAGTGAGCCGAGATCATGTCATTGTACTCCAGTCTGGGCAACAGAGTGAGACTCCTTCTCGAAAAAAAAAAAAGTAAATTCAGCTTGCTGAAAGTGTACTTGTTGGGTGTGTGTGTGTGTGTGTGTGCGCGCGCGCGCGTGTGTGCGTGCACGCACGTGTGCCCTCAAGCCTCCATAAACTAAAAATATAAATCAAAATAAAAATACAAAACATTTCGATTTCATTCTTTGCCTTTCATGCACGTTAAAGGGTTTGGTTTATTGTGATTCCATCAGCTAAAAGGCATGGGTCATGTTATGTAAAATATTCCACAGAACCGTTGTTAACTGTGCAGTTCTATTACATGAAATCACTGAGCTCGTTTTTCTTCTGAGACATGTTTATTATAGCTTCTTTTATTGAACCCTGCTAAGAAAATTATAGATCATGATTCCCAAATAGGCAGAATGACCATTATGGTCTCACCCTCAATTCTATTTGAATTTGGGGCATGCTATTCCCTGGTCTGTAGTGAATAAAAAAAAAACTTCATGCTAAATTTTGTGTGTTGTTCTTGTGGCCACCTCTGAGTTATGTTGTCTCAGGATTTATAGTTGTCCTTCGTAGATCAGGATCCGTCAGTGTATTTCATAAGCAGTGACTAGGAGATTAGGGTAACCACAACTCACTGTGCCTCTCTTAGGATATCCAAGGATCCCTGAGAGGGTAGACTGGAATGGCAGAATGTCCTCACACTTCGAATTTACTTTGGGCATCTTCCTAGAATCAATTGCTTTTGTCAAAAGGCCCTCCCCAAATGCTCTGCCACTTGATGCCTTTGCCCATGCTGTGTGTCTTGGAGCACTACTTTTCCCTTTCATTCTGAGAGATGCCTTTCAAGTTCACTGAGAATGTCAATTTCCTAATTTTAGCTTTCCCTGGTTCCTTCATCCCTGAGGAAGGGCATGATAAATTACTACACACACACACACACACACACACACACACACACACACGTGCCAGATTCTATGTGAGGCACTCAGGATTCAAAGATAAATACAGGTTCCTACTTCCCCACCTCTTCCTACCCCATATCTCAGGCTCATAGTTCTAGGAGACAAACAAACATTCAGTAGTGTGACTAGTGTTATGTATCAGATGATGGAACCGTGGAGATGGAAGCTGCTTAGATTTGCATCTGCCCTAGTACTTGCACTATATTGCAGTTTATTTGTGTAACTCTATTCTAGACTAGACTGTGCTTCTTAGGGTCAGGGACTCATTTTACTCATCTTTGGGTTGCCAGCACTTGGAGAGCTTCCCCTCTTGTGCTAGCCATCTGCATTATGAATCCAGAGATGAAAGATGTGGTCCCTGTGCTTAAGGAACTTTTCCCTTGGTGGAGGAGATAGATACATCATGCTCAGATTGAAGAAAGGATGATAGGGCAACATAGAGGAGAAATATCTCACAATCTGGGGAAAGGCTGTCGGAAAACTAGAGAAAGTGTTGCTTAAGTTGGCATTTGAAGGCCATTTGAGTCAACTGAATAACAGAATTTAAGGCAAGATGCTGCTAGAGATATTGAATGATTTTGATATGACATTTATATCAAAGGTCATAGAGAGCCACTGAGATATTTTAAAGGATACTATGTTAACAGACCAGAGGCAGATGGACCATTTGGTAGGGCCCTTGAATTTTTCCAGGTGAGAGGAGTACCTAAACTAAAGCAGTAACTGAGCTATTGAGGGTCAACTTGTCTGTGGGTTGTGATGGGAACAAATGATTGCCAGGTTTCTGAGTTGGGCAAGTCACAAGTGGTGCCAGTGACTGGGACAGGAAATACAAGAGTGTTCTAAGACCGCTCTCTCCGGGTGCTTCTCTGTCTCTTCTCTGACAGCCTTGATTACTCGTCCTTCAATGTGGCTGATTAATGAAAGGGAACTATGCCCATTCTCCAGAAGCTTCCCCACTAGAAGTCTGCCCAGTCTAGCCATTGTGGCTCTCACTTATGCATGAAGAAGCCTCCTTTGAGGGGACCCTTTCCTGGTTCTAGCAGGTGCCTTGCCCTCTCCACCAAGATGTCAAAGTCCCTGGGAAGCAGAACTGCCTTGCAGATAGATCTAAGGCCATCTCCCATCTGTGTCTTTGCTCCAGGCCAGATTTCTATTTACTGATTCTGTGGTCCAAAGAAAAGCTACTGAGTCTTAGAATGGATTGTCAATTTCACAAGAACAGAAAACTGCATGTTCTCACTCATAAGTGGGTGTTGAACAGTGAGAATACATGGACACAGGGAGGGGAACATAACACACCAGGGCCTGTTGAGGGGATGGGGGGCTAGGGGAGGGGTAGCATGGGGGTGGGGATATTGGGGAGGGATAGCATTAGGAGAAATACCTAATGTAGATGATGGAGTGATGGATGCAGCAAACCACCATGGCACGTGGATATCTATGTAACAAACCTGCATGTTAGGCACATGTACCCCAGAACTTAAGTATAATAAATAAAAAGAAACAGAGTGGATTGTTATTTTCTAGTCTCATTTGTCATTGGGCACCAGAGGATTCCAGACAAAGCTGTGCTTTATTCCATCTGACATCACAGTAACAGTTGTTGTGACCAGCTGCATAGGCCAGGGCCAACTGCCCAGGTTCATGTAGCTTCTCCAGTCAGCTGCCGTGTTGGCAGCAAGGGCCTCGATCTCATTGTGGGTACTTGTTTTCAAATTGAATTCTTTTGTGTCTGTCACATTAGATCTGAGTCATAGCATAAAAAATGTATCAGGGGTTCAAGGTGGGTTTGATGCAACCCATTCTTCTTCCCCTCCAGTTTAGCGGTTCATGGAGAGTTCATACAAGGATTGTCAGCAAGTGGAGAACAAAGTGTCACCTTTATTATAGGCTGAGCTTGTGTTCAATAAATCCCCCCAAAGTAGGGCATTTAGTAAATTTGGCTGGCGAACGTGGCTTAGGCCCTCCTGTCTCCCTGGGACCTGCATGCTCTGATGTGGTGGTAGGTGAGCAAGGTTTGCTGAACAGGAGTAGAGTCCATTTTCTCAGCTAGCAGTGAAGCCTGCAGGCCTGGTCACATCCTCAGCCAGGAAGAGCAGTGGGATGGAGTGCCTTCCCTCTCTGGTCACCTCCAACTCAAGTGAGCAGGTAGCAAGGAGAGGGGAGGCAGAGAAGCCAGGGCCTCTGGGTCAGAACATAGGGTCCAGTTTGAAGCCACAGCCTCGTTTGCGCTTCTGAGGCCTAATATGCAGAGTTAAAACAGAGCCCACTGAACCTGGCTGCTCCCTGGTGAGCATCCCTAATCCAAAAATCTGAAACCTGAAATGCTCCTAAATTCAAAACTTTGTGAGCGCTGATAAGACACTTTAAGGAAATGCTCAACCTGTATAATGCAAATATTATAAAATCTGAAAAAACATCTGAAAAACTTCTCTCAAATACTTAGTCCCAAGTATTCAGTTACAGAATACTCAACCTGTACTGCTTCTGAGGCCTGTTGTAGACACACTGAATTGAGGTATGTGTATCTTCAGTAGGGATCAAGTGAGGACCACGTGGAAGGTAGGCAAGTTGGATATTACAGATCCCAGCCCAGAGACAAAGGCTGGATAACACATTTGTTAAAGTATAGGTAAGTCCAATTGTGTCATGTAGTTTGAAAGGAGTGGATGAAGATCTTTCATTTGCCAAATTTCTAAAATAAGATATTCTTCTGAACAATTGTTCTCTTATTTCAAAAATTATATTCTGCTGATCAGTCTGTGACTGTCATTACCTTTGAAAGGGCAGTCTCTATCCTCATTCTGGTTTCTAGCTGCCTGATAGAATCACTTAAAAGGAACATTAGGCCAGGTGGCGGAGGCTCACGCCTGTAATCACAGCACTTTGGGAGGCTGAGATGGGCAGATCATGAGCTCAGGAGATCAAGACCATTCTGGCTAACATGGTGAAACCCCGTCTCTACTAAAAATACAAAAATTAGCCAGGCGTGGTGGTGCACGCCTGTAATCCCAGCAACTCAGGAGGCTGAGGCAGGAGAATTGTTTGAACAGGGAGTTGGAGACTGTAGTGAGCTGAGATTGTGCCACTGCACTCCAGCCTGGCCAGAGTGAGAGTCTGTCCCAAAAAAAAAAAAAAAAAAAAAAAAAAAAGAGGAACATTACATATTGTTCTAGGCTGAAATTAGAACTACAATAAACACTTCAGTCTGAAGAGTTTGGCCAGTTTGTTACTGAGAATGCATTAAGGTGTTACTCCTGGCTGAAGTTTGCTTACAGCCTAATATTGTAAGGCAGCTAAGGTCACCTAATAATATCATGGGCCAATATTCATAACTTATTAGGGTGTAATTAGGCTTTTTATCTGAACAGGCTTTAAATTCTCAGCAAACTGGTTATGTAAATATGTTGTTTTAGGGTAAAATAAAATCGATTGAAATGAGTATATTACTTTAATTGTATTGGCACCTTTCAAGTGACCACATTTATTTGGACAGTTTCCATAAGGAAAATAAATAAATTAACAGAATTATGCATGGGATGTGTTCCATTCTGGTTGAAAGCAATAGAGAAGATTTCAGAGGGAAGCATTCATGTGCTGTCAGCTGCCAAGAAACAGGACTATATTTTCTTTAGCAGGAGAGAAAACATCTCAATAAATCATAGGTTGTAGATTTATTAGGAAAAGGTGCCAAAATATTCTCTACTTGAAACTCATGCATCTTACATAAAAGGAAGTCATCAGCATTTCAGACAAACCGTTTTGGAGGGCAAAATCACTTAATATTTGCTAGTTAGTCACCTGTATTATTTTTAAAGAAAATCATTGTATCAAGTGATAATCTGCTTAAGCATCTTCCCACCCTCTTTGTTCTCCAGAATACCAGCCCCTCTCAAGGTAGAGGAGCTGGAGAAGCCTGCATTGGGCTGGGTCCAAGGCAGCCTATGATTCACTCCTATGGCTTGATGAGACCAAGCCATGTGCATATGGTGAATTATTTTTCCTGACTTTGTCTCAAAATATTTTGTAGAAAGGATGAGGATTATTACATTTTTCCAAGGGCATGAGGTATAGGAATGGGGTAAATGGATATGGCAATCATGAAACTTAATTATGAGTTTTGGCATAAAACAATTCTCAACTGAATTGAAGATCAAAGGCAAGAACACTGTAAAATGTGCATGAGGAGGAATCTGGAGAAGGGTAACCCATGGTCTTTGTTGTCATTGAGGACAAAGCAAAATAAAATGCAAAAGAAAATGCATTTAATGCAGGAAAAGGGAATCTGATTAATCACAAAGAAAGGTTTCTACTCCAGAAACATCTTCCTCTGGAGGTTTTAAGAGCTAAATGAACAATCGTTTGGAGGCAGGGAGTAAATGAAGTGCCTAGAGAGATGCTGCATGCATCATGTTTCTGCTGTTTCACAGTTTTTCATAGTGGGCAGCCATAACTGTTATATTCACCTCTCTCCTGACCGTTTTTTTTTTTAATTTTTTGAGGTGGGGCTTGCTCTGTTGCCCAGGCTGGAGTGCAGCGG